CCAGCATCCTGTTGTCTTGAAGAGGCCGAGGACGGCCCCGTGCGGCCAATATGTTCCTGTATGTTGGCACTACAACACCGTTTAAGGTGTTCAGTACAGAAAGTATCTGTTTTTATTGCATTCAGCGATAGGACAATATATCATGGTGGTTAGATATATGGTGCATGATAATGAGAGACTTAGAGCGATGTCCCCATTACATAGGGTAAGACACTCGCCTGGCGTTTGGCGAGCACTTTGGCTTGGGTTCGTATCCTGCCCGGGGAGAATTTACCGGGCGCCAATCCTTAACTGTAGCCTCTGTTTATCTAACAGTAAAACGGGTACCTGGTTCTTAAACCATTTGGCGGGTCGTATTCCGGGGAACTTAAGGATGGACCTGCCCGAAACACTATGTGTGCTGGTGGCTGTATAACAACTCTTGTATAAATAAATAAATAAATTTATATATATATATATATATATATATATATATATATATATATATATATATATATATATATATATATATATATATACACACACACACATGTTTATTGTCTACATAAATGATCTACCAGTTGGTATACAGAATTATATGAACATGTTTGCTGATGATGCTAAGATAATAGGAAGGATAAGAAATTTAGATGATTGTCATGCCCTTCAAGATGACCTGGACAAAATAAGTATATGGAGCACCACTTGGCAAATGAAATTTAATGTTAATAAATGTCATGTTATGGAATGTGGAATAGGAGAACATAGACCCCACACAACCTATATATTATGTGAGAAATCTTTAAAGAATTCTGATAAAGGAAGATATCTAGGGGTGGTTCTAGATAGAAAACTATGACCTGAGGACCACATAAAGAATATTGTGCGAGGAGCCTATGCTATGCTTTCTAACTTCAGAAATGCTTTTAAATACATGGATGGCGATATAATAAACAAATTGTTCATGACTTTTCTTAGGCCAAAGCTAGAATATGCAGCGGTTGTGTGGTGCCCATATCTTAAGAAGCACATCAACAAACTGGAAAAGGTGCAAAGACATGCTACTAAATGGCTCCCAGAACTGAAGGGCAAGAGCTACGAGGAGAGGTTAGAGGCATTAAATATGCCAAAACTAGAAGACAGAAGAAAAAGAGGTGATATGATCACTACATACAAAATAGTAACAGGAATTGATAAAATCGACAGGGAAGATTTCCTGAGACCTGGAACTTTAAGAACAAGAGGTCATAGATTTAAACTAGCTAAACACAGATGCCGAAGAAATATAAGAAAATTCACTTTCGCAAACAGAGTGGTAGACGGTTGGAACAAGTTAGGTGAGAAGGTGGTGGAGGCCAAGACTGTCAGTAGTTTCAAAGCGTTATACGACAAAGAGTGCTGGGAAGACGGGACACCACGAGCGTAGCTCTCATCCTGTAACTACACTTAGGTAATTATACACACACACACACACACACACACACACACACATATATATATATATATATATATATATATATATATATATATATATATATATATATATATATATATATATATATATATATATATATATATATATATATATATACAGTATATATAAGACAAAGACAAACAAATATACAACCATAGACAGATATAAAGGCATCAGCAGAAGAAAAGTAGAAGTGGAGATATGATCTTTAAAATATATAAAAGTAAACACCACTGAGAGATATTAAGAGAGTGACAGACAGACGAACATCTCCAGTTTTCGCTAGAGTGCGACGTGCTGAGATAACAGTATTAAATGTCACTACACTTCCCATACTCTTAACATTCTTGGTGAATCCGGTTGATAAAGGTCATCCTTTACGGTGCCTGAGGCTGCTCGACCACACTCTGCCAACTATCAAACACACACACACACACACACACACACACACACACACACACACACACACACCACCCCCCCCCCCCCCCTTGCAGCATGTCGTGGCTCAGGGGGTGTGGCGTGTGTCTGGTATTCACCAGGATGCTGGTTCAGTCCCCGCTCTGACCCAATCATTTTCTTGTTGATATGTCACACTATTGCTTAATGGGGGGGTATGATATGTCACGCTATTGTTTAATGGGGGGGTATGATATGTCACGCTATTGTTTAGTGTGGGGGGGGTATGATATGTCACGCTATTGTTTAGTGGGGGTATGATATGTCACGCTATTGTTTAGTGGGGGTATGATATGTCACGCTATTGTCTAGTGGGGGTATAATGTCACGCTATTGTTTAGTGGGAGTATGGAGTCATCAGATGCTTGTCTTTCCTGTGGCATTAGGCCTGTGGGGGAATATACCAGGATTGGATGCATGAGGAGAATAACACATGAACCAATATGTGGTTATTAGAACCATGAATTTAAAATTAAATAATATTCTGTAACTGTTGGTAAAGTACAAAACTAAAAGTTATTAGCTGCATGCAAGGTTCCTCTAAATCCACTCCTCTGTGACCTTGATAGTGGTAATGGGCTGTAGCAGGTAGTGTCCTGAAGGCTGATCTGGCTCATAAACTGCAGAACACACTTTTCTTGTGAGTACACCACCACATTTGACTTGTAAATGTAAACAAGGATATGATATAACAGCTCTACCCGCCAAACACACACCGAAACTACGACGTTGGTACAACGTTCGAACAAGTTTTAACAGCTCCTAACCAGTTATAACAACCAATATAGCAAGTTGTAACAAAGTTCTAATACGTCATAAACACGTTAAGTCAAGATGTAACAGCTTTATTACAAGTTGTAACAAGCAGAAAATAGAGACAGTTACGGTTTGTGTTTCCAGGGTATGATTGTAAACACTGGTAAGGTTCATGTTCTGGGACCTGAACTAAATGCATGCTCTAGCCTAGCCCTAGCAATATCTGTGCTGTTGCATAACAGGTATAATTTCCACAAAGGTAAAAGTCAATTTACATACACATATTATACACTAACTAGATAAATTAAGATAATGGATCAGGCAATGAAATGTTTGATAGGTTATAGTAAAATATTATATACACAAGATATATGATTATTCAGCTACATAAGCTCAGCTACTGCACGAGTAGGTCAGAACTTACTGATGGTGAGGCGTTGCTTCGCTGCCTAACGACTCTCAATTTATATATGGATGTATTAATGTTGTAAAGCATTGGAATTGGCCAATCTACACTCTAAAAACAATAACTTATCCTGAAATGAGAACCGGAGCCTATCTAGCAATTGCCAGATTATGTCTCTCTCTTGCTGAGACAAGGCTCGATACTTTAATGATGAAATAACAGCTTGATGTTGTTGATTTGCTGTCACAGTGTTGCTAAAATGATACTAGTTGCTTACTGAAATATGGAGTGTACGTTGTTGTGTCTCACTTGGTGGATGAGGTGGTGGTGGGGTCCCCCAAGCCGTTGGTCCTCCACACTCTTGATTTTGGATATATGTACCAGGAATTCCTCTTTTTTTTACAGTTCAGAGACACTCCCAGTATTTAGGGAGCTATCACTGAAGATTCTGATAAGTTTGTGGGTAATATCTTGCTGAAAAGGTGTCTCCAGCCAGAGACACGAGAGCACTCGTGGATGTAAACACGAGGCCGCCAGGTGCTGCGGCTCCTGCAGGGCGCTTCTGCTCCACCGGCGTCTGCCCGCCCCGTCAGTCAAAGTCTCGGCAATGATTATAAAATGATTATTTTCTTTATTTTGACTAATTGTTGTGATAAAGTTATATCACAAGATAGTTGCTTAATGGATTTAAAGATTATTGGCAGTACTTGATAGTACCTTTTGTTCTTTATTAAGGATTTTGAAATTACATCACTGGAAGCTATAATTTTGGTTCCAGCAATATTTTTGATTACCTGGAAGTTTCTAGATTCTGGACATCACATCTACTATGATTCTGGACATCACATCTACAATATTATATAGGCATTAAGATCAATAGTGTACTTGACCAATGGTCATATAGGATGCTCATGTAGATACAATAGATATGATCAATAGATAATATATGGAATAATACAGTCCTTAGATAATAATAATATTAACATGAGTGGAATTTTCCACAAGGCGCTACTTATTATTATTATTATTATTATTATTATTATTATTATTATTACTAAAATTATTATTATTATTATTATTATTATTATTATTATTATTACTAAAATTATTATTATTATTATTATTATTATTATTATTATTATTATTATTATTATTACTAAAATTATTATTATTATTATTATTATTATTATTATTATACAAATCCACAAGGGCCGTGATGAGGCTTCGAACCTATGCGCTGGATGTTCCCAGAGAAGGGAATGGAGATATCAGGAGAAAGCGCCAAGCCATTACGACTATATAATGGGGGGGTCAGGATAAGGATTTACGATGAGACGGGAATGGGTGGGTGTCTAACCATATGGACGGTTGGAGATTGTACGCCGACCTGCATGAAGGAAGACCGTCGCTCTACCGTCTAGTCCAAACGGTTGCAGACGCGCTCAAGTCAACTATACCACGACATGGTCAAATAATTGCAACCTGGAGTGCTACTGCACCTACGAGGATTCCTATCCGGGGTTTCACACAATTCATGTGGTACAGTTGACTACCGCGCGTCTGGGAACATACAGGGTATAGGTTCGAACCCTCATCACGGCCTTTGTGGATGTGGTCATGTGATATATCACGCTAATGTGATTCCTGTGTGTTTATATGTAGAGGCTCAGTATATAGTATGTATTATATATATAACACAAGACACACAGTATAACATAATAGGTGAACACACGGCCCTAAGTGACATCCGCGCGTACTGAACTTCTGAAAAATGACCTTTGTTATTTTTTCCTTATCTCAAACCACATCCTTAAATTGGCGGGAGATGAGAAGACTTGTGAATGTTATCTACGGACGCCCCCGGGCAGAGGCGGCCTGACAGTCCCCAGGCAGAGAAGGTGGCCTGACAGTCCTCAAGCAGATGCAAATAATTGAAAGAAGATGTTAAATAGCTTCACCATAATATTAACAGTAGTCTGTTTTTAAGTAAAGTCATTCTTTACACACGTTCAAAAAAATACACCAATGAAAGCTACTATTATTACTATGGTTGGTTGATGCTTGTATCCCATAACAATTTTCAGAAACATATGTGACGACGAGAACCTATTGGTGACCCTAATGTATGAAGCATGTAATTGTGTCAAACAGTAACTAACTCACCGTCAAATCTAACCACTGACTACAACTTCTAAGAACATATATTTACTAGCAAGACGGAGTTCTGAGTGTCCCGGTGGAGGCCGTGACGCCACAGCTTGGCACATCCTGTGACTCAAGTTCCAACAGTCCATACGTGAAGAGCGGAGACGGCCGGACACTTGGAGCCTAGTGGCAGCGGGCGAGGCTACCAAGGGACCTCTCTTCCCGTACTGCTCTTGAAGGTAATACACCTACTGCTCATTCATTGTTCTCTAGCTCACAGTCAAGTGTTTCCTTCTTGATTACGTCAACTGCGTCCTGGTTAGACACATTGCTTTTGGAAACGCAAATTTTGCCTGGTGAATAATATTTCGCAACCACTCGTCGGGTTTCTGTTAATAAGGTGGTTTACGGCAATTACAGTGGCAACGAGAGGGACGAGATGTGAGGATTATGGGGAGAGTGATAACATTTGAGGATAATACACTGTGCAGATGAACCAAACATTATAATCCTCCCCATAAATCATGTCAAAGGTACCCTATACTACTTTATTAAGGTTGCCACTAACAATATATTTTGACTAACATTGCATTAAATTATAACTAATATACAGTTAATGTGCTAAGATATATTGAACATCAACATGTACTCGTACTGTAGTGGCTTGCAGAGCCACTAACACACCGTTTAGGGAAGTCGTAAATAATAATTTATATAGGTATAATAATGTTAATATTTCTTGAAATATTGAATTTGGGTCATTAAGTGATTGCTAGATAAACGACCGTAGGGTGCCAGCTGTGATTCACACAGTGCTGAAACACCCTCTCTTGAAATAATTGTTTCCGAGAAGGGAATAATTATGAGGCCCGGAATAAGGTCATTATGGATACGAGAGATAATTTGTTACAAGTTTCTCTCCATTAACAGCATATATGGCTTATAAACCAACCAATAAGGTCTGGGGCTCGTAGCCATATAGCAGGGTAGTGAAGTGTGTGGCACACTGAACCATGCTGCACTCTGAACCATGCTGCACTCTGAACCATGCTGCACTCTGAACCATGCTGCACTCTGAACCATGCTGCACTCTGAACCATGCTGCACTCTGAACCATGTTGCACTCTGAACCATGCTGCACTCTGAACCATGCTGCACTCTGAACCATGCTGCACTCTGAACCATGCTGCACTCTGAACCATGCTGCACTCTGAACCATGGTGCACTCTGAACCATGCTGCACTCTGAACCATGCTGCACTCTGAACCATGCTGCACTCTGAACCATGCTGCACTCTGAACCATGCTGCACTCTGAACCATGCTGCACTCTGAACCATGCTGCACTCTGAACCATGCTGCACTCTGAACCATGCTGCACTCTGAACCATGCTGCACTCTAATTACGTTCCTTCATTACATTAGTTTAACTTTCATTTGTCTGATTGTATAATAAAATTTTAGTTTCTCTTTAACGAAAGACTATGTATGACTTAAATGTCTTCTATGAGTACTGAACTGGTAGGGCCATGTAAGGACATTTCAGATCACTTAGTCTCTTGACTACTAGTCACGACAATGACAAGTTCAGCAGGCCTGCAGCAGTTAAAGTTCGATAGTTTGGCCCACATTCCTCTCACATATTATGTAAATTGATGATTGATGAAGATTAAGTCACCCAAGAGGTGGCACCCAAGAGCCATGAACTTATTACATATCATGTAATTATTGCATGGCTTATAGTGGGTGGAGGAGCAGAGGATCACCAGCATACCCTAGTACAGGGACAGGCCCTTTTCAACTAGGTGAATACACACCTTGTCCCCGTGGAGCCGCCACCGTAGGCAACCAGCGGGGCCAAGTGTACATACAACACTAAGGGACTCAAAACTCCTTTGTTTCATTCCATTTCCCAGCGAGAATCATTCTGCATTTTCATTATTTCATTTAACAGCTGCTTCACTAAACTGATATGAGATGAAGAAATCATTGGCAACTATTGCGTAAAAATTCAACATTCACATTCAAATTGTTATTCAAGAATATGTGTACAAAGAATATAAGAGGGGATTGTGGGGACAGGAGTTACACATATTAATGAAACCTCTATTACGCAGGAAAACTTAAAATATTTTAGAAAAAATATATAATTAAAGGTGTAAGGAGGTAAACACAAATGAGAAAGCTCAAGAAAAAGTAACAAATGAGTACAATAAGAGTGTAATACTTAATGATGCTAGGCATAGACTATTACATTATAGAGTCGGTGGTTCAAGCAACACTACAGGCAGTTGTTTATTTACATTCATGACAATGGAAATACAAAGGTAAACTTAAAAGTTTGTTATTTAATTAAAACGGGTTTGAGCGCTGAACCTTATCTTAGGCTTTGAATGTTTTGCTACATACGGATACAACGTCACTGCCCTGTTATATATATATAGAGCGTAGTTCTCATGGCCTTAAAACTATATAGAGAGTAGTGGAGAATTTGTCATTGTAATCAAACTAAAAAGTAGAGCATATAAGTTCCTTTTCAAGACAGTCTTTTCAAAGGCTACATAATTGTTATTAATAATGGGTTGGGAGACGTTAGCCTAATATTATAGGGTCCGGGTGATTATACTACTGTTAGCCTAATATTATAGGGGCCGGGTGATTATACTACTGTTAGCCTAATATTATAGGGGCCGGGTGATTATACTACTGTTAGCCTAATATTATAGGGGCCGGGTGATTATACTACTGTTAGCCTAATATTATAGGGGCCGGGTGATTATACTACTGTTAGCCTAATATTATAGGGGCCGGGTGATTATACTACTGTACGGATGCTTTGATACTCATTAATAACATTTTAACTTGACTTTCTGATCTCATAACAGAGGCAGACGAATAAAACTTCAGCACAGAAGTACCACTTCTTCCATCATGATGGGTGGTTGCAAGATGTGGGGGCGTGTGGGCGGTGTGGTGGTGATGTGGGCGGTGATGGGTGCCGTGGTGGGGGCAGTAGAGGTGGTGTGTGGGCGAGAGTGTACCTGCTGGGAGGAGATCACCAACATTGTCACAGAGTACCGGGTCATCTGCAACAACACCTCCCACCAGGTGAGTTCCTAAACTAAACTAACTAACCTCTCACTCATCTACTTCTCCCGCCAGTACTCTTAACCATATTTATTTATTTATTTATTTATTTATTTATTTATTTATATTTATTTATTTATTTGTGTACAAGAAGGTACATTGTTTGTAAGAATACATAGCATAGTATTTACAGTCTTGTAAAGGCACTAGTACACGCAGCGTTTTGGGCAGGTCCTTAATCTAACATATTCATAATTTATCATAATAATAATTGCCCCTAGTGGTAATACTACTACCACTAATAATAATAATAACCCTTAGTACTAATAATAATGGCCCCCGAGTACTAATACTACTAATAATAATGCCCCCCGAGTACTAATACTACAGTAGTAGTAGGCATCCATCAGTCTCAGGAGACTATGGAGATGCGCTCTGGTTATCGGTCCAATACTACTACTACTAACAATAGCATCCTACGTAAACTCCACCATTATGGACTCCGAGGCCTTGTCCTGAACTATATTCGATATATATATATATATATATATATATATATATATATATATATATATATATAGCCCCTAGTACTAATATTACTATTACTATTAATAACAACACATATTAGAAACCGAATCCAACTGTCAGGTATGCATTTGTACTCTTTTTATATGTGGGAATTCAAGCAAATTGCATAGCATCCCATTTGACCAGAGGAAAGCCATTGAAAATATGGGGTTCCAGCTCCTGGGCTCTGCCTTCACCGTTTTGTTTTGTTTTACAACATTAGGGCTCCACCTCTAAGGTCCGAGAGGGTTGGCGACAGGGTGGGGGGGGGGATAATTATCAAGAGAAAGTGCCAAGCCGGGACGACTAATTTTTGTGAATATATAGTAAATTATATCTCTTTTGAAATTAAAATTGTGATCACCCATTTTCTTAGGATATCCACACCCCTGTCGTTATGAAGAATATGTTACACTCGTTATACGTTGGTGTAAAATTCAGATTTATTCTAGCTGGGAATTAGAATGAAGCAATAAGTGATACATAGCTGCCAAATATTAGTAATCAAATTTTTTACTATAATTAGGTACTATATCTGCAATTCTGCATTTATACAGGTAACCTAGACTATATGAAGAGTTACCTAAAGTGTGTCAAGATAAATGAAATGCTAAAAAATTGCACTGTATGTATTGCTACCCAATCTCCCAATCTTTATGTACCCAATCCGAACATCTTTATCATTGTGATCATTGCTGTCTTCTTATATGTGCTGTCAATCTGCTGTATGGTGTCTATTAATCTTGTTTAAATTACCAATCAAGCTGTCAATGTAATCAATCAGAGCTTTAATATACCAATGTGCTTTAATATACTTACTAATCTCTCTCATCTCATTTTTTTCTTGCAATGTATTTGTTATCATTTTATTAATTCTGCTAGAATTTACCTACTTAAAATTATTTGTTAGATTAAGGACCTGCCCGAAACGCTGCGCGTACTAGTGGCTTTACAAGATTGTAAATACTATGCTATGTATTCTCACAAACCCAATGTACCTTCTTGTTTATAAATAAATAAATAAATAAATAAAATCCCCATGTGGCAAGATGTTCAGTCATACAGACGCGTGCGATCAGTAGCCTGCCCTGACCAGCTTTTGGATGCATCAACAACACCAGAGTAAATAAAGTTATTACAAAGCTCCAGGTACCTCACTCCGGCAGATATGAAGGATGTAATGACTGGACACAATAATGTAGTGAGTCAAATCAACCAAGCCTAACTTAACTGACAATTTGAAAGCAAGTATATCTATGCTGTCGTATCTCGCCCCACCGTTCCCGATCTTAGAAGTTCGTTTATGTAATTACACTGACCTTAATGTTGTGGCATTGCTGTTAGGTAAAGATAGCTTTCATGATTGGTTGTACCAATGGTATTCTCCTCGAATGGAGGAAATATGTTTTAGTGTACCAAGAATGATAATGTCCGTTTTCTCAGTTTAAAAGAGCTGTGAACAAGGATAACTTATATAAATTCCTTCCCTTCTGTTTATGAACTATTTGAGTTTTTCCTTTACATATACCGTATATAATGTTTCTTTCTTCCTTCTTCTCTTTTTTACCTTATCTCTTAATGTGTGTTCCTGCAAGTGTCTTTGTGGGCTTATCTAGCGTGACTACACTACCCTACTACACTATCTATAGATTTCCTAATACTAATAGCTTCATTCTCAGATAACCTAAGGAACCTTATCATAAACAACAATTCGGGCTCACCATGGCCCGTGTTGCCTGGAGCTTTTTGTTTCAGGCAGCGAATCTTTAACAACAGCAACAACAATCATAAGCAATAATCTCAACAAAACCCACATCATTCTGGGAGGAGACTTCAGTATTGACCCGCGTCAACAAAATTGCTCTCAAGTTGATTATTTCCTTAACAGCATGAACTCCTGTATGCTAATCCCCACAATCACCAAGCCCACCCGAGTCACTCAAACATCTGCCACTACCCTGGATCACTTATGGACTAATATAACAGCTCCCCTTGTATCTGATATAATCTATGACAGAACAACTGACCACTATCCTGCCTTTCTCATCGCAAACATGGACTTAACACCACCAGAAAGCAAAAAATTTACATTCAGGCTACACAGTGAATCAGCTATAGGTAACCTTACAGATGCACTTCACAATATTAACTGGGAATCTGAATTCAATAATACTCAGGATACAAATTCATTAGCTAACCTCTTCCTCTCCAAAACTCTAAGCCTCTACAACCTTCACTGTCTCCTCCTCACCAAGCAAGTAACTGACAAAAGAATAAACAATCCGTGGCTCACAAGTGCCATACTCAAATCAATCAACAAGAAACATGAATATGAAAAGAAACTTTGGATTGGCCTAGTTACAAAGAAAATAGTTAAAAGGTACTCATCAATGCTTACTAGTATCATAAGAAAAGCAAAACTTTCATATTATGAGAATAGATTCAATGAAGCACAAGCCAACAGGAAAAGCACATGGAAAGCCATCTCTAATATCCTAGGAACTAAACAACACTCTCACAACCAAATAAACCTCTATAAGGATGGCTATACATCGTCAACTGATTTAGAAAAGGCAAATGAATTTAATAGCTTCTTTTCATCGGTTGGTGCTAACCTTGCCAGTAAAATCCCACAGACTCAGACATATATTAACACATATCTCTCAGGCAGCTATCCAAACTCTCTTCTCCTTTCACCAATCAGCCCGGCAGATGTTGTGTCCATCATACACTCACTAAAAACTAAGGCAGGGAACACCGGTGAAATTCCGTCCATTGTATACAAGAGCGCCTCCCATGCCCTTGCGCCACCTATAGCTCTACTGTTCAACAAATCCATAGAGTGTCACACCTTCCCTGGTATCCTTAAAAAAGCAAGATTAACGCCAGTTCATAAAGGAGGCAATCCGGCGGACATAAACAATTATAGACCAATATCAAACCTACCCATACTATAAAAAATATTTGAATTTTTTTTATCTACAAACACTATTCTTACATCGTAAAATTCGACATACTCAGCCCCTGTCAGTTTGGGTTCCGGTCCCAAAAGAGCACCAATGATGCATATATTAGTCTCCTTGATGTAATCTACTCAGCCCTTGACAAAAATGAGTCTCCGATTGGACTCTTCATTGACCTGAGAAAGGCCTTTGATACCGCTAACCATAACTACCTCTTACTTAAACTCCAGTATTATGGAATCCGTGGCCTTACCCTGGACTATATCCAATCCTATCTTAGTGACAGACACTAATATGTAACCATCAATGATATAACCTCTCCTACTCTACCACTAACTGTAAGGGTGCCACAGGGCAGTATCTTGGGACCTCTCCTATTTCTTATATATATCAATGATCTGCCTAATGTCTCTAATATTCTTAAACCTATATTGTTTGCTGATGATACTACTCTCATCTATTCAGACCCCAACCCACATACACTAAATAATGTTGTAAACAATGAACTAAAATGAATTAAAAAAAGTCCACTTATGGATGTCAACTAACAAACTCACACTAAACATAGAAAAGACCTACTACATCCTATCTGGAAGCAAATCATCAAATGCACTTCAGCTACAGACAGACAATATTAACATCAGTAATCAAAATTATGGAAAGTTTCTTGGCCTATTCCTAGACAAGAGACTCAACTTCAGCACCCACATTCAACACATAACTAAGAAAGTCTCTAAAACAGTTGGTATACTCTCCAAAATCAGATATTATGTTACTAACTCTGCTCTCCTTTCACTATATTATGCACTAATCTATCCATATCTTAATTGTATTTATTTATTTATATATATACAAGAAGGTACATTGGGATTGTGAGGATACAAAGCATAGTAATTACATTCTTGTAAAGCCACTAGTACGCGCAGCGTTTCGGACAGGTGCTGGTTCTGCCCGAAACGCTGCGCGTACTAGTGGCTTTACAAGAATGTAATCACTATGCTCTATATCTCTATGATTGTATCCTCACAATCTCAATGTACCTTCTTGTATATATATATATATATATATATATATATATATATATATATATATATATATATATATATATATATATATATATATATATATAAATAAAATAAATACTATTGAGTTTCCCTTTGATTGGGCAATGTGAAATTGAAACTAATTTTCATTTTATACAAGAGTTCTTACAGTCTTGTAAAGTCACTAGCACGCATAGCGTTTTGGTCAGGCCCTTACTCTTAATTTTCCTTTGAATACGGCCCTCCAAGTCGTTTAACAATCAAGTACCCATTCACTGCTGCGTGAACAGAGGCTACAGTTAAGTACGGGCGCCCAGTCAATCCTCCCCAGCCAGGATACGAATCCAGGCCAAGTAGCTCGCGAAGCGCGGGGTGATTGTCTTACCACTGCGCCACGGTATTTTCATCTATCATACGATCATGCAAGAGGAGTTGCACATCTATTGTTGACCAAACCACACACTAGAAGGTGAAGGGACGACGACGTTTCGGTCCGGCCTGGACCATTCTCAAGTCGAGTCTCACAATCGACTTGAGAATGGTCCAGGACGGACCGAAACGTCGTCGTCCCTTCACTTTCTAGTGTGTGTGGTTTGGTCAACATACTTCAGCCACGTCATTGTGACTCCTCGTCTGCACACATCTATTGACTATCCAATAAACTCCGCAGACTCCTAGATGTTACTGCTGCTCGGCTTAGACTCTGCTATAAGTATAAGTTCAGTCCCGACTCTTTCTAGATGGCTTTTAAGATCATTTAGTTCACCTGAGTCTTTTAAAGCCATCTAGAGAGAGAGCGAGTCGGGACTCCGTTTCCACCCATGAATATAGTGAAAATAACAGTCTGCCTTTCCTGGATGTACTAATAACAAAGACAGGAGCATCTCTAAGCACCAGCGTATATACTAAGCATACAAACATAGGCTTAAATGGAAGGAGTGAGTGCCCCCAAAGATACAAAGCCAGTGTTCTCAATGCTTATATTCGTCGAGCTCCTACCCACTGCTCTGAATGGAGCAACGTTAGTAGGGAGTTTATAAGAATAACGAAGGTACTGGTGAACAATGGGTACAGTACCAAAGAGATAAATATTACTATAAGACCACACTGGGAACGGTGGTACCAAGAACAGAAACCACAACACCTACAGTAAAATTTTATTATAAATCAACCATGCACAGTGAACATAAAAAAGGAGAAAGAATAATGAAAGAAATAATCCAAAAAGGAGAAAGCAGCATAACTCGTAACCAAAACACAGACCTAATTATATAATATATAACAAAGACGACTACCAACCTCCTTTTTAAAAACAGCCCGAAGCCGACGGAGAGCCCTTTACCGTAGTCAAATGTGGTATATATGTACACCTGCCCCCCCCCCCCACGAAGGATGTAGCCTTTAATCTAAGTAACACAGATATGACGTCGACCAAGCTGACGAGGCGTGTGACCTGTCATCATCAATCAGGTGCCCCTAAAAATGACATGAGACAAGCCCATGGCATCACCCACCACAAAAACCTGCACCACCACACTCCACCACCATCACGGATAATGTATAAGACACAAAATATGTAATGGAGAAAAATGTGGTGAGAATGTTGATGTTGTAGACACTCTGTAAGTGACTGTGAATGGTAAGAGAGGCAGACCAAGGCAGGAGTAGTTTAGTTCATTTATTATGCACCCCATACCCATCTTGTGGGCGGTAGTGGAAAGGGTTACAGAGGCACATAATGGGCTCAGGGACTGAACCCCACAGTTCATTTAGCTAAGCAAGTTACAATCTTGATGAGCTAGTTACAAAATTCAATATAAGTCGTCACATCAACAATGGGTTCGAGATCGACCTCAAGTACAGGTTCTAAATTAAGCAACTGACATATGTGGAGAGCTAGTGTCACAATTGATATGTTTGTCCTGCACACCGCCCCCCATCCAGTGGGCAGCGGTGGATAGGTTACAATCACTTAGTTACTAACTACAGTTAGCAAACTGGGGATATTTGGCTAAAATTTCTGGTAGCAGATCATTTTGAATGAAATATTTACACATCGCTGGAACATTGATTATAGAATTGTCTCTAAATTCACGTATCTTTTCGCACTCCATCACATAGTGACGGAGGGTGTGCGAATAATTTTGTTGACACAGTTTACATTTGGTCAGATCTACATCAGCAGATAATGAGAATTCCCAGAGATACTGTAACCGAGTCTAAGCCGAGCAGTAGTAACATCTAGAAGTCTGCTGATTTTATTGGATGAACCATAGATGTGTGGCTCCTCTTGCATGATAGTATGATGATAGATGGAATTACTGGTGTCGATTTCACTTTGTCTCAGATGTACAAGATCTTGTTGAAGTTCTCGGTGTACTGTTGCTCTCAGATTGCTCATTGACAATCCAAGGTTATACTCAACGGCTCCTTTAAAGGCAGATTCTTTGGCTAACTTATCAGCTCTATCATGCATTCGGAGGCCAACATGAGATGGAGACCACATAAAATGGACTCTGTTACCATCATTAATAAGTTTGTTGTATTTGTGTCTAGCTTTGATACATTAATTGTAAGTGACTCCTTATCATCCTTAATTGTTCTCAAGTCTTTAAGACATAATATAAGACCAAGGCAGGAGAGAGATATAACAATGACACATCCGGTGACACACGCGGGCATCAACAGGATGCTCACGCGAAACCTTCTTTCCACGTACTCCTATTTTGTCTCCTTCCCTCACAAGATTGTCTCTCACAGTGCGTCTCCGTGTACTAGTAGTCCTCATTCCGGTGGAGAGGTACTAGTACTTCTCCATGGTGTCATGAAGTGTCCTCTCCGCTACCTCTGACTGTGGCTTGGTGCTGGCCTTAAGGTCTGTCAACCATCTGAAGGGTTATTAAGGCCACCTCAATTGGCTATTGGCCAAGCAGCAGGTACACTCTAGTCCTGGACATAGTCCAGGATGTAAACTGTCAGTGAATGTACACAGATGAGAGGAGTTCACCTCGCGGCATACAGGGAGACGAGGAATATACCTCCAGGCATACATATGTACCACTGGTCTTAACACCCGGGTACTATGTACCACTGGTCTTAACACTCGGGTACTATGTACCACTGGTCTTAACACCCGGGTACTATGTACCACTGGTCTTAACACTCGGGTACTATGTACCACTGGTCTTAACACCCGGGTACTATGTACCACTGGTCTTAACACCCGGGTGCTATGTGGTAATGCAGCTGTGAGTGTTGCCGCCGAAGGGGCCAGTTTATTCTACACGCTGCACTCGTCCTGTGAGCGGTAGCGCAAAAAGGATTACAGTGTGGGCAAACGGCGCCCCCCCCCCCACCCTTCCCTGTCGTTGTCTGGTGAGATTACACTAATATTAATTAGGACACTGGTTCAAATCTCCGCACTGCTCCAACTGATTTTCTCGTTTATGTATATTATTATATTATATCAATACGACTTACAACTGTAATTTTGTTACGTGTTTTTATATACCTTCTATATAGATGTCACACCTGTGACAGGTAAAAACATACCTTTTTTTAACTGTTTTTTCATGTGAGGTAATGGTAGGGAGGACGAGGGGACAGGGGGATGGTGGGGAGGACGAGGGGACAAGGGAGTGAGGGATGGTGGGGGAGGACGAGGGGATGGGGAGTGGTGTATGGTGGGGAGGACGAGGGGAAAAGGGAGTGAGGGATGGTGGGGGAGGACGAGGGGATGGGGAGTGGTGGATGGTGGGGAGGACGAGGGGACAAGGGAGTGAGGGATGGTGGGGGAGGACGAGGGGATGGGGAGTGGTGGATGGTGGGGAGGATGAGAGGACAAGGGAGTGAGGGATGGTGGGGGAGGACGAGGGGATGGGGGAGTGCTGGGGAGGACGAGGGGACAAGGGAGTGGGGGAGGACGAGGGGATGGGGAGTGGGGGATGGTGGGGAGGACGAGGGGACAAGGGAGTGAGGGATGGTGGGGGAGGACGAGGGGATGGGGAGTGGTGGATGGTGGGGAGGATGAGAGGACAAGGGAGTGGTGGATGGTGGGGAGGACGAGGGGATGGGGGAGTGCTGGGGAGGACGAGGGGACAGGGAAGTGGGGAATGGTTGGGAGTTCTAGAGTTGGCAAACCAGACAATCTATATGCCTCCACAGACAATGGAACAACAACAACAAATAAAGTATACCCACAAGCATTGTGAAATTAAACATATTAAAAACGTGTGCATCCTCTTTTCTTTCTTTTCCATTTAACCAGCCTAAGCCACAGCAACGCGTGACCGGATACAGCTAGTTTGTAGGAAGATTCCTGCCCGAAACGCTTTACGTAATAGTGGCTTTAGGCATTGTATGTATTAGCTCTATCTATAAATCCATCTATGTTTGTATCTCACCTTGTATGTATGTACTTTACCTGAATAAACATTTGATTTGAAGATGATTTTGTATTTTGTGCAAAGTTAATTTACATTTACCTCTAAATAGCTCATTTTTTACAGTATAAAATGTAATGTGTGTTGGTGTCGAGGCACTTTAATCCCAGACCCCCCCCCCCCCCCCCCCCCCGTGCAAGCCCCACTACCAGAGACACATGTAGCCAGGCCATACTCGCGCTCAGTGTCAGTCTCCTCGCTGTATTACAATAAAAAGTGTTGTATTTGACACATTTCATTGTGATAAACAATGGAGCTACTAGTTCCTGTTTGCACACTTTTACTTTCTTCCAATTCATTTAAAGCTCTCGTCTAATGACACTTCTTAGGGTTTTATATGATAGGTTAGGATTACGTTCTACATTTGCCTTTATTTACTACATCATTACCCATTATCATACTTTTGCAGCCTAATGTGAAAGGCGCTCCTCAACAAATTGACTTTGACCCCTTATTAAGTATGCAGGTATAACTATATCTGGCTTTTTAATACTATTTAAATAATAGTATTGCTATTTATACTAGTAATATTTAATACTAGTAATGAGGAAAGGGAGTCTCAAATAATAAAGCTATCTGATGCTCTGCTTTCAATAATTGTGAGTACTACAAGGATAGCCAACACTCTCACCAGTGTGTGTGTGGCCCCCAGCAGGTGACGCTGACGGAGGAGGTCTTCGCCCACAGAACAATGTTGGAGACAAGAAATTACGTGCGGGTGGAGGCGCCGTCCGAGTCGACGGCCATCATTGTGACGGAGGAGTTCGTGAGGACCTGGAGAGACCAAGTGTTCAGCTCTCTGGACGTGTGGGGAGGGCGACTTCTCCTGCCACAAGTGGAGTCCCTCAGCCAGGCTGACACCCTTTTTTCCTCTGTCTCAGGTTTGTTGTTGTCAACGTCTCCCTGCGGTAGTCAGATGTGCACCTCAACCCCTCGCATTATTAATAATAATCTATTCACAAGAAGATACAATGGGTCGGTTAGATTACACAAGATTCACAAGATTTAAACGATTCTTCGCGGCAGGGGATCGTATTCCAGGGACCATAGGATTAAGGACTTGCCCGAAACGCTACGCGTACTAGTGGCTGTACAAGAATGTAACAACTCTTGTATATATCTTAAAAAAAAAAAAAAAAAAAAAGTGGTATTTTTACATTCATTGAAAGTCACTAACACGCTTAGCGTTTCGGGCAGGTCAGTGTATTCATTGACAATTGTCTTCACACTTGCTCGCATTCATTAGAGCAGGAATAATAGTACCTATGGTGACTCTCGCGTATATTTATGTATTAAATATAGACTGTGGCCCCCAAAAAGGAACCATTAATTTTGTGAAGGATCCGAGAAAAAAGGCAATAATAGCCTAACCTAATCTCTCATGCCCTGTATAGCGCATATTTAAAACAAAATTTCAGTGAAAGTGTACACCGTAACTGTTTTAAAATATAGCTCGTGTAAAACTGCGTATTTCACTGCATGTGAGATATGTGGGGTCGGGAAGCTGGCGAGGGATAGATGCAATCCATCTTCCCCCAAAAAATAGAACTTACAGCGACTCGAAAAAAAATATACAGAAAATCTAGACTGTTGCACCCAAACTTGGTCCATTGTAACTACCTAACCTAATCTCTCCTAGGCCTAATATTTATAAATTTATTTATATACAAGAAGGTACATTGGGGGTTAACAGAGAACATAGAATTTAAGTTGAAATTACATTCTTGTAAAGTCACAAGCATGCACAGCGTTTCGGACAAGTCCTTAAACTAACAGATAATTTTTAGATAATTAACAGTAAAATTGACAAAAAATGTTTACATGTACTTTACAGCTTTACTTTACAGATACAGATAATTTTAAGTAGAATAATAACAGTAAAATTGAAAAAAAAATGTTTACAGGTACATTTGCAAGAAATTTTGACACAAAAGCAGACTAGAATAATAGACAATAATAACAATACACAATAATGAACAAGGATTACTAGGTACAATTAGGAAAACATCTCAGGGTTAAAAATTGGTTCACTAAAGCACAATATATGTGATCATATTGTTTATAAATTTTATAAATTTTGCAAGTATTTACCTACTTATAAGTGTCTTAGATTAAGGACTTGCCCGAAACGCTGCGCGTACTAGTGGCTTTACAAGAATGTAATTACTATGCTATGCATCCTCACAATCCCAATGTACCTTCTTGTATATATATAAATAAATAAATAAATAAATCATTACAAGGAATAATGCAGTAGAATATGCACTCAATACTACAACCATGATATCAGATGATATCTTAGATTACAATGGTAAAGAATATGTCTTAGGTACAAATAATGAGGGATTGGGTAGCACTAGAAACAGTGCGAAGATAAAGCTCTAGATAGAAGACTATGAAGATGAAATTAGGTACTTTTTGGCTTTATTTTTGAATAAGGCAAAAGTTGGACAGGTTTTCAATTCATTAGGGAGTGAGTTCCATAGACTAGGTCTCTTTATTTGCCTAGAGTGTTTACACAGATTAAGTTTGACTCTGGGGATATCAAAGAGATATTTATGTCTTGTGTGGTGAGTATGTGTTCTATTACATCTGTCCAGGAAGAGTTTCAAAACAGGGTTTGCACTTAAGAAAAGGGTTTAATAAATGAAATTGACACAAGAGAATGTATGGAGTGAATTTATGTTTAGCATGTTTAGGGATTTAAACAGGGGAGCTGTGTGTTGTCTGAAAGCAGAGTTTGTTATTGTCCTGATAGCAGATTTCTGCTGCTTGATGATGGGCTTGAGGTAGTTTGCAGAGGTTGAACCCCAAGCACAGATACCATAAGTAAGATAGGGACAGATAAGTGCATAATAGAGTGAGAGCAGAGCAGAGTAGGGTACATAATATCTGATCTTAGAGAGTATACCAACTGTTTTAGAAACCTTTTAAATTATGTGCTGAATCTGGGTGCTGAAGATGAGTCTCTTGTCTAGGCATAGGCCAAGGAACTTTCCACCATTTTTATTGCTAATGTTTACATTATCTATCTAAAGCTGAATTGCATTTGTTGAGTTGCTTCAAAATAAGATGTAGTAGGTTTTTTTCTATGTTTAGTGTAAGTTTGTTAGTTGACATCCACAAGTGGACTTTTTTTTAATTCATTGTTTACAACATTATTTAATATGAGTGGGTTGGGGTCAGAGTAGATGGGAGTAGTATCATCAGCAAACAATATAGGTTTAAGCATGTTAGAGACATTAGGCAGATCATTGGTGTATATAAGAAACAGGAGGGGTCCTAGGATGCTGCCCTGTGGCACCCCTATGTTAGTGGTAGAGTAAGAGAGGTTATATCATTGATGGCTACACATTGGTGTCTGTCACCAAGATAGGATCGGATATAGTTCAGGGTAAGGTCACGAATTCCATAATGATGGAGTTTAAGTAAAAGGTAGTTATCTTGAGGTTATCTTGAGATGATTTCGGGGCTTTTTAGTGTCCCCGCGGCCCGGTCCTCGACCAGGTCTCCACCCCCAGGAAGCAGCCCGTGACAGCTGACTAACACCCAGGTACCTATTTTACTGCTAGGTAACAGGGGCATAGGGTGAAAGAAACTCTGCCCATTGTTTCTCGCCGGCGCCTGGGATCGAACCCAGGACCACAGGATCACAAATACAGCGTGCTGTCCGCTTGGCCGACCGGCTCCCATGGTCCCAGTTATGGTTAACAGTATCAAAAGCCTTTCTCAGGTCAATGAAGAGTCCAATCGGAAACTCACTTTTGTCAAGGGCTGAGTTGATTAAGTCAAGCAGACTAACAATTGCATCATTGGTACTCTTTTGGGAGCGGAACCCAAACTGACAGGGACTTAGTATATTGAATTTTACGAGATAGGAGTAGAGCTGTTTGTAAAAACAATTTCAAATATTTTTGATAATATAGGTAGATTTGATATAGTTCTGTAATTATTTATGTCTGCCGTGTTACCTCCTTTATGAACTGGCGTTACTCTTGCTTTTTTAAGGATGCCAGGGAAGGTATGACACACTAAAGATTTATTGAACAGCAAAGCTGTGGGTGGTGCAAGGGCATGGGAGGCGCTCTTGTATACCAACGATGGTATTTCACTAATGTTCCCAGCTTTGGTTTTTAGTGAGTGAATTTTAGTTACACAGCACATGTAGGGCTGATCGGTGAGAGGAGAAGAGAGTTTGGATAGCTGCCTGAAAGATATGTGGTAACATGTGTCCGGGTCTGTGGGATTTTTTGGGCAAGATTAGCACCAGTCGATGAAAAGAAGCTATTAAAATCAGTTGCTGCTTCAAGGTCTGTTGCAGATGTATAACCATCCTTGGAGATTTTTATCTTGTTATGTGAATGTTGTTTAGCTCCTAGGATGTTAAAGATGGCTCTTCATGTGCTTTTCATGTTGTCTTTTGCTTTTATGAATCTATTCTCATAATAGGAACGCTTTGCTCTTCTTATTATACTGGTAAGCACTGACGAGTACCTCTTAACTACTTCCTTTGCAATTAGACCAATCTTAAGTTTTTTTCATATTCATGTTTCTTTATTGCTTTGAGTATGCCATTAGTGAGCCAGGGAATATTTAACCTTTTGCCAATATAAGCAGTCCTAGGCATAATATACTCAGCCTTTAGGCTGTTGTTGTTAAAGCTTTAGCTACTCAGGACGAAGTGTCCGTGTAGCACGGCCTATGGTGAGCCCGTAATCCGCCAGCCAGTCTTTAGGCCTAATGTACTACATATATATATTCATTAGGTGTGACGTGTACAGGTGTGTTACAGGTGGCGTGGGGCTGATTAACGTGAGGTGTGTGATGTGTACAGGTGTGTTACAGGTGGCGTGGGACTGATTAACGTGAGGTGTGTGACGTGTACAGGTGTGTTACAGGTGGCGTGGGACTGATTAACGTGAGGTGTGTGACGTGTACAGGTGTGTTGCAGGTGGCGTGGGGCTGATTAACGTGAGGTGTGTGACGTGTACAGGTGTGTTGCAGGTGGCGTGGGACTCATTAACGTGACCATGGACGTGTTGCCGGGTGGCCTCTTCGGTGGTAAGAAAGAGGCCAAGCTGCGGCTGTCGAGGTGTTGGGTGGGCCGCATCGCCGCAGGTCTCCTGCGGGAGGTGAAGAAGCTTCAGTACCTGCAGATCGAGGACTCTACTGTGGGAGTGTTTGAAGGACCCTTGGGCGACGACCAGCTCTCCATTAGCTCTAAAAAAGATCCCAATTACAGCACGAGCCCAATTTTCGTGCACAACTCTAAGTTTGGGGTCTTGGAGACGGGGGCGCTCAAGATTCGTATCAACAACGAAAACACGATGTTGACGGAGGTAAAAGTCGGGGAGATGAAGGAGGGCGCCGTGGAGGTGTCGGGACCCGGTAAGGTTGTGCTGAGTCGGTGTAGTGTGGCGGACCTCCAGCTGGACGCCATCAAGCTTCATGGCGCCGCTTCCGTCTCTATCACCAACAGCTCGCTCATCGTGCAGCGCGGGGCGCTCTCACAGTTTCCCTGCAATTTCTACCAACACATCAACTACAACAACATCGTGGTGCTGCCGGCGCTGGCCGCAGGTGGCGCAGACAACCTTACCAACGTCTCCGTCACCCCTACTGACCCTGTCCTCCTCTCGCAGTCGCGACATTCTGTGGAAGAGTTGATGAAGGAGGAGCTGGGACAGGCACTCCACCCCACGTGTGTCGAGGGCAACCTGCCGGCGTGGCTGTCATCCCTCGCTGAGCTCCCCTTGCCACAGCCGCGGCGCGAGAAGCACGCGCTGCTTCACACGGGTCTCTACATCTTCGTGGGGGTGAGCCTGGCAGCCATGATCATCGTGGTGATTCTAACCTGCCTGCTGGTGAAGGTCCGCCGCCGGCGTGCACCCACCTGCAGCACCAACCAGGTGGTGGTGATGAGCCACCTGTCTGCTGAAGACCCCATCTACGATGAGCCGGGTCACCTGACTCTGCTGCCCCCGCCCGTCCCGCCGCCCTCCGCCCTGCTGGACGACGTCTGTAGTGGCAAGCAAGACGACTCCTGCGCCGCCGCCGCCACCATGAACGACAACTGCGCTTCTCGCCCTGGCCAACCACCTCATGTTAAGGCCGTCGAGAACCAGTATATGTCCATGTGTTAGATGGTCGCGAGCTGAGGGCCATGTGTTAAGTGCCTCTGTGTTGGGTGGCCATGTGTTAAGTGCCTCTGTGTTGGGTGGCCATGTGTTAAGTGCCTCTGTGTTGGGTGGCCATGTGTTAAGTGCCTCTGTGTTGGGTGGCCATGTGTTAAGTGCCTGTGTTGGGTGGCCATGTGTTAAGTGCCTCTGTTGGGTGGCCATGTGTTTAGTGCCTCTGTGTTGGGTGGCCATGTGTTAAGTGCCTCTGTGTTGGGTGGCCATGTGTTAAGTGCCTCTGTGTTGGGTGACCATGTGTTAAGTGCCTCTGTGTTGGGTGGCCATGTGTTAAGTGCCTGTGTTGGGTGGCCATGTGTTAAGTGCCTCTGTGTTGGGTGGCCATGTGTTAAGTGCCTCTGTGTTGGGTGGCCATGTGTTAAGTGCCTGTGTTGGGTGGCCATGTGTTAAGTGCCTGTGTTGGGTGACCATGTGTTAAGTGCCTCTGTGTTGGGTGGCCATGTGTTAAGTGCCTGTGTTGGGTGGCCATGTGTTAAGTGCCTGTGTTGGGTGGCCATGTGTTAAGTGCCTGTGTTGGGTGGCCATGTGTTAAGTGCCTGTGTAATGGGCCTTAGAACCTCTTCTTCTATCATCCAACCCCAAGTCAATGGCAAGTTATCAAAAATTAGCAGTAGCAAGTAATTGTGAAATAAAAGGTGGGGGGGTTAACAAGACTTAACACCTTCCCCGATGTAATCTGTCATATAACTACATATATGTACCGTGTCTCTTTCGCAGAGGACAGTTAATATATATGCAGTATTCTTCAAATCCCGGTGAGTCCACTATCTTCAAGTATACGGCATTCATTTCCAGTGGTTAAAACACTGGAGAGTTCACCTTACGCATCATGGACCAGTCCACACCGTATCGTCACGATGTCCATATACCCCACGTCTGCTCCAGAAACACACTGGCAGAGGTCTTCAGCAACACACTGACAGGGACTACCAATAATACATCCAAGGGTCTCCACTAACACCCTGGTAGAAGTCTTACTACACACTACCAGCACTTCTCAGCAGATGGCCAGTACTGTCGTCTTATAACCTCTTGGCCAAATCCCTGGTACGTCGGTCCACACAATCACTGCACAAATGCAACAGCCAACAAATGTTTAAATGTTTATTCAGGTAACACATTGTCTACAGCCGACGGCGGCCACTTGTCCTAACAGGGACAAGTCAGGAGTTCAGGACTTCCAAGGTGAACTAACTTCCACAGCGCAATAGACTTTCCACGTCACCAGGACTTTCCAGTACACATGGAGAACATAAGATGGCAGCCTTTCACCGGGAAACTGAAAATATAATCGGATGCACAATCTAGATGGCGTTGATACCGTTACTTCACTCACCAGAGGTCTTCATCATCGACGTCACCTCCTGACTGAGGTACGAACTTTCTTTAAAAGAGGTACTGCGCCTTTCACAGATGGCGCTGAACTTGCCACACCTCCAGCAACAGATGGTGGTATCCTCGTTACACCTAATGACTTGGAGTTGAAGTGCAGGTCCATAGATGGCGTCCATGTCATCACACATCACTCCATAGAAAGCGTTGATATCGTCACACCCAACCACCAAAAGAATTTGATTTGGTTTCTAACAAGAAATAAAACAAATTAGTATTTTAGACGCGAGACAAGGCATCTGTTACCACGTTGGGTACCCCATACCCCTGCGATAAAACGCAGGACCTCCTTACGTGTGAAAAGGGTCGGGTACAGAACGACGGTTTCTACTTTGCTGTTCTTCGGGGCAGTCCATCCTCCTCCAACCACATGTCCTAAAATGATAACAGAGGTCATGCAGATTCAGACTCATGCAGGTTAAATACGAATGTCATGAAAAAATCCTGCTCTAGGAGCTGTATCAATAGGGATGCCTTAAAAAGAGCGAACACCAAGCCCTCGGGCAATGATTTGACTGACGTGCCTGACAGGAGCGGGGCCACCTTGCACGCCTTGGTTAATGTAAGCACCGAGGCTCTGAGGAAGATCGAAAAACTGCTGCGAATTGCCAACACCTCCCTGAGCAGCGGTACCGCTGGTGGCTCGTTGCAGAAGGCTTTTTCCGTACCATCTGGCTGCCCCCCCCCCCCCAGGGAGACAGGAATATGGAGTACAAAAAGTGGACGACTTGGGCTACTAGGTACAGCCTTGAGATAAGTACTAGTGTCTTGATCCATGACTAGGTTCGCGCGAATTAAGTGCCTCTGTGTTGGATGGTCATGTGTTAAGTGTCTCTGTGTTGGGTGGCCATGTGTTAAGGTGTCGGAAAATCCGACACCATTTAATATATCATACAGATAATAGCTGTATTGTATAAACAAGTTACCCATAGAAAACGTAACTTGTAGTGGAATTACCGTCTATAGAAAACGGGATATCATCACCACATACTATTATAATTCACCACCTATTATGGTGGGAATTATTCTTAAATACATTAGTCTTTGGACTTTACCATCATAAAAACATCTTATATAAATTAACTTAATTATCAATATTAAAGTAGAGTAAATGTGACCCTTCTATCACTTTCTGAAATGTGGACAATGTAAGCCAGGCGTCAGAGTGAGGAAGGAGGCAGCCATTGTTGTGTCACCTCCGAGACGTGTGGAGCAAATTCGGCTCCTATCATTCTGGACAATGTCGGCCAGTAACGTCAATAGTATGGAGTGTTAAACAGCCATTGTTGTATTGAGACCAGAGGCTCACACGGGAGCAAATTCGGCTCCTGTTAATTTTACTTGGACGTAGTGTTATGGAACCCAAAGGTGTACCATTTTTCAACACGCTGTCTACATATCAAGTTAAGTGTTCTTTCCGAAACCCATTATCTATCATTAGTGGCCATTAATGTCATTGGGTAGGGTTACCCGGTTAGAACGCGACATAGCCTCAAACTAAAGGTAATTAAGCCAGGTCTTCATGTTCCATGTACTGTATAGTGTTTTCTCTGATATAGCTTGTCATATATAGGATTCTGGCTTCACAGCTAGCGCACTTTTGACAGGTCAAGACGAGGAAGAGTTCGTGCACCAGTTACTGGGTGATATGGAAGCTACCTCAAAGAGGATAATTTGGTGTCTACACCCTAGTTATACCTGGTGGACTAGCCTGCTGTACTATAAGATAAGGAACCTCTTCAATGTATGTAGTTAATTCTGTAGTTTGATTGGCTGCATATATATAAATTAATAAACCCCCCCTAATGTGTAGAGGATCGATTTGTGAGATTATGAGATTATTGCAGAAATACAGTCCACTTATCATTATACAAATTGCTATCGAAGTATATAAATTAACGTAAATATAAATTCATATAAATTAAATAAATATAAATCTCACAGGTCGGTTCCCACATTATTTGGTCCTTCGAACCAGATTATTTGGTCCTTTGAACCCACATTTGGTCATCTTAGTACCGGATGAACCAGTTAACCAGTGGATTCAATAAATATACTAGTGCAGTGTTATTTAAACAAAGCCAGTCAAAGACAGCGGCGAAGCCTCGTGGGAGCTCAGGAGCCTCCCTCAGCCCAGATCAGCTTCGTCAGCGGTTTCATGCACACCCACAGATTTGGTGGCGTGTTATTTCGTGAAATGACAGCGCTAATATAGAAGCCAGCCAAATTAGTGACTGTGTCTTCGCGAGATTGTTCACGGATTTCGTGGTGTTACATTTCGCGAGAGATTATCTACGAATTTTGTGGACTTTATTTCGTGAGGTCACTAATAATATTTAATACTTCTAGATAATATTAGAAGTTTCATAGAGGCTAATTAAGAGGCTATTATCAATAATTGTGTATATTATTTCTCCAAAATAGAGAATTATTTAATATATATTGCACTAGTGATCACAGTATAATATTTACTAATTGCCAACCCACAACAGGGTAGGATATGACTAGTTGAACTATTATCGTTCATCCTAGTCCCATTATTACCATAGTCAGTTGTACAATATTGATCAACCTAACACCATTAATGAATGGTCCAGACCCTATTTTGGGTGTAATTTTTATCAACTCGAGTTGAGTTGTATATATAATAATTTACTTATGATCATTACACCTTTGAATGATTAATTAGTGTCTCTACCATCCTAGGGTGATATAGAAGAGCTAACCTAAAGGTACTTCCAGTGACACTGGTTTATCACTCAAATCATTAGTGTGGATGATTGTATATATATAATGTGTATTAATTTTAAGTGCTAACCTCTAGTAGAGGTAGGATTATTGCCTAGTGAGTGCAGAATTTACCCTAGGCTACCATTAGTGTTTGTTCAGTATTATGAGCAGCCCAAGTACAAGTCCCACAAGGCTTCACCAACTAGCCAGTATGGATAATGCAGGGAGAATGAAAAGAACCCTTGCAGGTCTTAAAGGCCACTTAACAAGACAGATCAAGAAATGTGAAGATTTGTCACAACAATCAACAGTTGATTATGCTGACCTGGAAAGCTATTATCGAGCAGCTGCAGGTAAATTTGAGCAAATCAAATGCCAAATGGCTGTCCTTGTAGGGACAGACTATTGCCATCGATTCATCGGTAGCCCTACTAAATATCAGGGCATAACCATGTTAAATTCTGCAGGAGGTAAATTACTCTCAGGACCAGTATCAAGCCTGAGGAGACCTATGCCTGCAGATAAACAATACCAGTAGAAATCTAAATTTGTCAGCTGATTATATTTCTCCAGTAGCATTATACTAAGGAGATTACAGCTGACTATACCAACAGAGGTTGATGTTAGTATCATCATTTAAAGCTGAAGATGAGTTCATGAGGCCTCAGTGGCAAATCAGTGAACAGTAGCCTAAAACAGCTACAAGTCACTGCGACCAATGTCACTGAACCCACTGCAGTCTCAGAACCATACTTTACTTTAATGATGAGCTATTCAATCCTCTGAATCAATTAATTAAATTAAACCCCAATAAATCTGATGACTGATTTGATACATTTATTATTTAATCAAGATGTATTCCATGGGCCTCAGTGTTTATATATCAGTGTCCAGTTACCTGAAGAAACTTCAAGTTATATCTAATGTCACTGATCTCACTGCAGTCCCTGAATCATACTTGACTGTAGTACTTGATCACATCCAGTCTTCTGGGTTAAATAATATGTAATAAGGCTTGAATATTAGCCTTTCAAGAGTTGACAGGGAAATGAAATCGCATTAGACTTCTAACCCCTACAACTCTAGTACGGGACATCCGTCCTGTACGAACAGACACACAAATGTGTGATTACTAACTACTAACATCAAATTAATCTAATAATTCGAAGGAGGAGTATCGGTGTTCGTCTGTTCTAAAGAGGACTTCGACCCGTGAGCAGCCCCCTGGGGAATTATGTCGGAAAATCCGACACCATTTAATATATCATACAGATAATAGCTGTATTGTATAAACAAGTTACCCATAGAAAACGTAACTTGTAGTGGAATTACCGTCTATAGAAAACGGGATATCATCACCACATACTATTATAATTCACCACCTATTATGGTGGGAATTATTCTTAAATACATTAGTCTTTGGACTTTACCATCATAAAAACATCTTATATAAATTAACTTAATTATCAATATTAAAGTAGAGTAAATGTGACCCTTCTATCACTTTCTGAAATGTGGACAATGTAAGCCAGGCGTCAGAGTGAGGAAGGAGGCAGCCATTGTTGTGTCACCTCCGAGACGTGTGGAGCAAATTCGGCTCCTATCATTCTGGACAATGTCGGCCAGTAACGTCAATAGTATGGAGTGTTAAACAGCCATTGTTGTATTGAGACCAGAGGCTCACACGGGAGCAAATTCGGCTCCTGTTAATTTTACTTGGACGTAGTGTTATGGAACCCATAGGTGTACCATTTTTCAACACGCTGTCTACATATCAAGTTAAGTGTTCTTTCCGAAACCCATTATCTATCATTAGTGGCCATTAATGTCATTGGGTAGGGTTACCCGGTTAGAACGCGACATAGCCTCAAACTAAAGGTAATTAAGCCAGGTCTTCATGTTCCATGTACTGTATAGTGTTTTCTCTGATATAGCTTGTCATATATAGGATTCTGGCTTCACAGCTAGCGCACTTTTGACAGGTCAAGACGAGGAAGAGTTTGTGCACCAGTTACTGGGTGATATGGAAGCTACCTCAAAGAGGATAATTTGGTGTCTACACCCTAGTTATACCTGGTGGACTAGCCTGCTGTACTATAAGATAAGGAACCTCTTCAATGTATGTAGTTAATTCTGTAGTTTGATTGGCTGCATATATATAAATTAATAAACCCCCCCTAATGTGTAGAGGATCGATTTGTGAGATTATGAGATTATTGCAGAAATACAGTCCACTTATCATTATACAAATTGCTATCGAAGTATATAAATTAACGTAAATATAAATTCATATAAATTAAATAAATATAAATCTCACAGGTCGGTTCCCACACCGACGCTATGGGTCCCTACAATTGCATCAGAGGTGGTAACCTCATAACTTTATATATATATATATATATATATATATATATATATATATATATATATATATATATATATATATATATGTATATATATATATATATATATATATATATATATATATATATATATATATATATATATATATATATATATGTATATATATATGTATATATATATGTATATATATATGTATATATATATATATATATATATATATATATATATATATATATATATATATATATATATATATATATATGAGAGAGAGTGTACTCACCTAATTACGCTTGTGGGGGTGGGTGAGCTT